CAACTCGGTTCGACAGGGGGCCGGCCCAGCTTGGCCTGCCGGCGGCCTTTTCTCGGGCCTTCGGCCCTCGCATCAGACCCAACTTGGCCAGTCGAAGGCCCGGGCCTTCGGCCCGCTCGCATCACACACACCGTGAGCGGGTAAAGCAAAGTTATCGATGTACCATCGTGACTTAGGCCCGCCCTTCTATTCACAATATGCAATAGTCCTTACACTTTTTACTCCAACTGTCCATAGAATATGCCCATTTCGTTTGTCTCTTCGCCCTCATTCCGAAAATACCCATATTTGCCATGCTACTGCAACTCCTTGCAATAGAGGCACAGCAGGAGCGCAAAACGAGTCCGTCGCACTTTTTCCCATAACTCATGAAGGCGGGCTCCTGGACCCCCCTTCCGACCCCTCGTTGAAGAGGTCTTGCCAAGACCTATCCAAAACTTAAGTAAAAATTTTCAGTCGGTCGACCCCCTTTTTTCAAGATCCTGATGTGACTAATAGACGAAGTCGGGCTCCTGGACCCCCTTTCCGACCCCTCGTTGAAAAGGTCTTGCTGAGACCAATCGAAATCTGCAATAAAATTTTTTAGTCGGTCGACCCCCTTTTTTAAAGATCCTGATCTGGCCAACTTGTAAAAGCGGCCGATGGGGTCGGGACCAGGTCCATTCATCTTGTCTCGTCGCCCCGATTCCAAAAATACCCCTATGTGCCCTGCTAGCACCTTTATTGGCGGAAATCCCCCTCCCCCGTAAACAAAACTAGTACATGTCTGGAATCCGACGTCTTTCGGACGTCCCGAAGAAGTCGGTTTTGGGAGCTCTTCGGGACCTCCCTAAACGTACTACAAATGAAGCTCTCTCGTACGTCGCGCGGGGACCTAGTGTGTGGTGCCAGAGTTCGCCGCCAGAGCGCGCCCTGGTCGCTCGTCCCAAAGTAGTCGGTTCTTGGAGCACTTCGGGACGTCCGAAACGGTAGGTCTATGTGAGGTCTTTGGGAGGTCCCCCACCACACCCGTCGCAGCGTCCTGCGGCCATGTAGTTCCGAGTGTGTCCGCTAGAGCGCGCCTCGGGCCCACGCGATGCTCACCTGTTGTGCAGATGACAGTCGGCGCACTTTGGCGCGCACTGTGCTTGTGGCGTCGGATCCTTACTTCTATTTATTTTTCTGTTAACTATAGTAAATTCATTTCTCCAAAGAAAAGAAACCACGCACGAAGATGTTCAGTTCTCAGGTGCACTAATAAGTAGAATACTTCAAAGCCTGGTGCAGGCTTATTTCGTGTTTCAATCCAAATCAGAAAGTGCCGGTGTAAGTTAACCTACAATATTCTGTTACTTTGATACTCTTATTGTCAAAGTGTTTATTTTGTTCGTCATCTGATTTTATGCTTGAGAAATAGGCTCTTTGCGGAAACCTTGACCCACTGGAGTTGCCCAAGATTCTGGAACGATAACCTGCACCACTATGCAATTACATGTGGAACAAGAACTGACTCCTGTGCTTCAGTGTCAAATTAAGTGAATTTCCTGCGACAGAGCAAAGTAAGCATGACACCTTGGAATCAGTGCTAATTGAATTTCTTTCAGTCATTTTGGCTTATTTTTTAATCAAGGGGTGTTACAGTTATGGTTGCTGTATTTTCTTTTCAGTCCAACTGAGATTCCTCTTTTAAATATTTTGTTTTTGAGTCCTGTCCACCATTTTTGTCTCCATATTTTCTGTTGTTCGTGACAAGTCCTATCGTTTGATTTTTAATTTAAAAAGGTCAGTGAATAAATACATTTTTCCTAACAGTTTATCTGTGTCATATTCACATTCCTATACGCATTCACATTCATATCCGGAACAGTGGCGCACCCTAGCGGCAGGCCATCGAACTACGACACAGGTGCGCGCTCTAGCGGTCACCTTCGGAACTACATGGCCGCAGGGCGCTGCGACGGGTGGTGGGGGACCTCCGAAAGACCTCTCACAGACCTACCGTTTCCGACGTCCCGAAGTGCTCCCGAAAGAGACGTCCTGAAATGTAGCACGGCAGTACTTCTTTCGGATGCCTTTTTTGTTTCATAAGGTACTCCTTCCGTACTACATTTTGGGATGTACAGAGCTCCGAAATGGTAGTACGACAGTACTACTTTTGATAGTAGTTTTGTTTACGGGGTCCCGCTCATGTAAACCATGATGCACCTGCAGCAGCCCTTGTGCGACCCGGACGGGATTTGCACCACCGGATTATTTGTTTGGATGGTACTCCTGAAGTACCCTCCAAATCTGGTTACTCTAGCTCAACTCCTTCCTTGTACACAGACGCCAACAACAACAACAACAACACACAGACACAAAGGCAAATGCATAGGCCCTCGTCGGCCGAGCCGTTCAGGAGGAGTAGTGCGGACAGACAGACCGACAGACAGACAAAACTTTTCAACCCCACTGGAGTAACAGGCTTCGCTATCGCTCAGCCAATAACTCTTCCTTTTGCCACAGTTAATTAAATTTAGGAAAATGTAAAATGCCCAAACCAACAGATAATGTTGCAACACTTAGAGTAGGAGGCGTTTAAAAAAAAACCCTTTCAATTGGTTTGCCTTTCAAGGTATTGCCTTTCACTGTGGCAAAAAGGTACGGAAAATCCTGTTAATTTTTTTGCCAGGATTCTCCGTAGCCCTCTTATCAATATTCTCCGTAGGAGACTTCAAGTAACAAGTTTCAAAGAAAAGTAAAAATTAAAAAGACACGGCAAATACCCGGCGAAGGCCTCAGACCAGGCGGTAGAAAGAATTTAGGAACTGAGTGACGTCACCGGTTTAGACAGTGTCGTGATTTCGGAAACTGCACAGGTTGTTTCGGTGAGTTGGTGCGTTCCGAAACTAAATGGACTCAACCTATCCTAACCTAACGGAGATTGACAGATACCCTCTAACGCAATAGATACCGTCTAAACGAGGCATTAATATTCACATTCAAAAATACCGGTTCTTTACACATTACGAAAACGTACACAAGCTACCAACACAGCCATACTCTAAGTCCAATATTTATTATTATCATTTTTATTATATAACTTTAAAAGCAAAAGAAAATGACAATGCAACACATTCAAATTAAGAAAAAAGAAAAAGATGCATCTGGAATTAAAATTACGTAGAAAAAGCAATGCGAAAATAACTCAGATAAAGGCAAGGGTAATGTTGGCAGCATTGGATGAGATTCTAGTGAAAATTGCAGAGTCCATGTCTCAAGGTCCGATCCCCAAGGGCTTCGCAGTTGAAGTGAGGTTAAAGAACAAAAACAAAGTTCAAATTTATGGTTGGCTCAGCAATGAAGGGAAATTGATTTGTTTGTTTGTTTATTTCATCAACCATTCTTTAGAGTACAGTATTGCGCACTTAAATATAAATTAAGTGATTTAAGAGAACGTACCCAATTTGTCGGCCACCATCAGCTCGAGGGGGTGTCACGTTCCCAAGATATCAGACACTGCATTAAGGGGGCAGTCTCGTCCCTGTACCCTTTTTTAGGGGGGTTTTCCCCCTCTCTTTTGATGACGATGATTTTTTAATTATACCTCTTAGAGACAAACGGTAAAAACCAAATGAAAGAACGGAATTTTTACAACATTTTCGAAAAAAAATATTTTGTTTTGTCTTCAGTTGCAAGGGAATTATAGGGAATGCAACAAAAGCCGACAAAACATACAAAATTTCACTGCGCGACAATTTTCTCCGGAAGTTCTTAACTTTTTGGCAATCGGTTTGCGGCATATTGAAGATGAAAAAATCCTCTTTACTTTAACCTACAATCGTCCATATAGCCCAAGGATTACACTTTTTAAAACGTAACCAAAAACCTATACAAACTTAGGAACGGTTTTAATTTAGGTTTTCCTTGGGCTACATGGACGATTGTAGGTTAAAGTGAAGAGGATTTTTTCATCTTCAAGATGCCGCAAACCGATTGCCAAAAAGTTAAGAACTTCCGGAGAAAATTGTCGCGCAGTGAAATTTTGTATGTTTTGTCGGCTTTTGTTGCATTCCCTTACTCCCTTACTACTGAAGACAAAACAAAATTATTTTTTTTTGAAAATGTTGTAAAAATTCCGTTCTTTCATTTGGTTTTTACCGTTTGTCTCTAAGAGGTATATTTAAAAAATCATCGTCATCAAAAGAGGGGGGAAAAACCCCCTAAAAAAAAGGTACAGGGACGAGACTGCCCCCTTAATTATCAGACGTGGCATGGTGTTCTTCCAAAACAAAGCAAGGGTGAAATGGTCTCAACGCACTTCCATCTTGAGTAATTCAATCTGCAGAATATTCTGAAGTTTGGGATTCCCACTGAGTCGCAGCATGTCGAAGCCATATGTAATACCTAAGACAGAGAGAAACGTCAGTAAAGCATTCACAAAGGAAAATAGAGATATCTGGTAAAATCGTGAGATGATCAGTTCACTGCATGAATGTCCACAGGTTTAGATTCAGTTGGAATTTTTGACGAGAGCCGGCACACCGTTGGGTTAACCCCGAACACCTACCTTCTCGGGTGGTTTTCCGGAGAGTTCTTGAGCTTGTGCGTTTGATTGGTGCTCGCAAATCCACGAACAGAATATTTTACGACAATAGCCATGCTCTCAGATACAAATTATGAGGAAAATACAGGAAAAATCAAATTTATGCACAGAACCAGCCGGGCCAGAGAGAGCAGAAGGGGACAACAAGGTCTATTTTCACCAACTTTCGAGGATAACATTTGGAATATTTCAAACTGCTATCTAGGTAAAACTCGGTCGCTAAGAGACTCAGTTTCAAACAGAATCATCGAAATAACATCATATTGGTACGTGTTAATACAGTTTCCTTGGTTTTTATGTCGGAAAACCGGTTTGTGTTTTTCTTCCCGTTGTAGTGTAAGAATGGGGAAACCTTATTCGCGCCCTTTTTAGTGCCTACCCCCACCACGGTCTCTTTCCATACCCTGCCAAAAATGATCCCTCTATACTTTTCTAGAAACTGCCATGGGAACTAAAGTGAACGCGCAACAGGACTCCAAGTCTCCATACGTCTCTGCCGTCAGCGAGTAAGTTGGTCGAATTGAGCTAAACAGTGTGAACATGGCATGACTGTAAACTTTGATACCTTACAAACACAATGCGGAGTTCAAGCGAACGTTTTAACAGTACAACTTGGCCAACTTAACCAAAAAATAAGAGGCAATTTCGAAACTTCTCAAATTTTTAGTTTACCTAGCAACTTGTTAGAAGTTAAACAAGTCAGTTAATCATTGACCGAGAAAACCCTGCCGGCTTTAGGATGTTAGTACGGCAGATGCTAAAATTACCACGCAAATAACTTTAAATTTACCTTTTATTCGATATTTCTGTTTTGCAGTGCACTCCTTTCAGTCCACATGCGATCCGTGCAACCGTGGCTTGACAACGACTGGATGTATAACCGGACAAAGGGAGGCAAGACCTTAAACGCCGCTCTTAAAGTTCTGCACGAATATTCTCGAGAGGTGAGTATTGTTGCCTTGGCTAAAGCAGTGGCTGATCTACAGCTAAAGCTCCAAACCATCGTGGTCGTTCAGACCCAATGCCATCCATTTTTATCGGAAAGACTGTTATTCACATCCTATCACCTCTCTTCTCATCGCTTCATACGTTTTGTTTCATTTAGACAGTGATTCCAAACGCTATGAACATAGTTGTACGTGCGGTGCAATGCACTGAGATACCACACCAAACGTGCAATGCCATAGCCATATTGCACTTAAGGTGTAATGCCTCCCGAAAATGTCCTATGCTAACGCATGGGAATGGGGAGGCAATGGCCTTTATGTGCAATGCAAAAGCATTGCACCAATTAACGCTACTCACGCCGTTTAGATTCTCAGGGCACCGTTTATGAGTGTGAAAGAGTAATCTTTTATATTGCTTTTGGACTACCCTTTACAGATAATACCCTTACTCATTAAAACAAACACAGACTAGAACAAGACACTGTAAAGGAGTCAGCTAGCTGTTTCTCCTGGGGGCTTACTGCCGGGAAAGATTAGTGAGGCCGGGCCGCACAGTGTAATGAAAGATCGAAAAGTGGGAAAAAAATATTTTTTTGTTCTAACTGACTTAACTTAATGCAGAAAGACGCATTCTGGTAGGAAAAGTGCCACAGGACCATCCAATCGTCATAGAGACGCCATTTTTGAGAAAAAAGTGGTAAAAATGCCGTATTTTTAGTTCTTGACACCCATGGCTTCTGCTGTTTAGCGTATCCGCAACTTTTCTCGACGCCAACTAGTTAAGGGGTACTAGGACAACATTTTATAGCATTTAGAGCATTGAGCTAGGTGGGGAACTCGAGATATTTCACCTCAAAGTTTACAAATTTCCTAAAAATCTTCCAAAACTGCCATTTTTTGACTTTTTCGAAACCCTGGCTTCGGCTCTATGGTGAATCCGCAACCTTTCTCGACGCCAACTAGTTAAGGGGTACTAGGACAAGACTTGGGAACATTTGGAGCATTGAGCTAGGTGGGGAACTCGAGATATTTCGACTCAAAGTTTACAAATGTCCCAAAAATCTACCAAAAATGCCATTTTCTGACCGTTTCGAAAGCTTGGCTTCGGCTCTATGGCGAATCCGCAACTTTTCTCGACGCCAACCAGTAAAGGGGTACTAGGACAACACTTGATAACGTTTGGAGCATTGAGCTAGGTGGGGAACTGGAGGTATTTCGCCTCAAAGTTTACAAATGTCCCAAAAATCTACCAAAAATGCCATTTTCTGACCGTTTTGAAAGCTTGGCTTCGGCTCAATGGTGAATCCGCAACTTTTCTCGACGCCAAGTAGTTGAGGGGTACTAGAACAACAGTTGAGATCGTTTGGAGCATTGAGCTAGGTGGGGAACCCGAGATATTTCGCCTCAAAGTTTCAAAATTTTCTGAAACCTACCAAAAATGCCATTTTCTGACCTTTTTGAAGCCCTGGCTTCGGCTCTATGGCGAATCCGCAACTTTTCTTGACGCTTACTAGTTGAGGGGTACTCGAACAACACTTAAGATCATTTTGAGCATTGAACTAGGTGGGGAACTCGAGATATTTTGCCTCGAAGTTTAAAAAGTTTCAAAAAACTTACCAAAAATGCCATTTTCTGACCTTTTTGAAGCCCTGACTTCGGCTCAATGGTGAATCCGCAATTTTTCTCGACGCCAAGTAGTTGAGGGGTACTAGAAGAACACTTGAGATCAGTTAGAGCATTGATTTAGGTGGGGAACTCAGGATATTTCGCCTCACAGTTTAAAAATGTTTTTAAAACCTACCAAAAATGCCATTTTCTGACCTTTTGGAAGCCCTGGCTTCGGCCCTATGGCGAATCCGCAACTTTTTTCGACGCCAACTAGTTTAAGGGTACTAGAACAACACTTGAGTTCATTTGGAGCATTGTGCTAGGTGGGGAACTCGAGAGATTTCGCCTCAAAGATAACCAGTGTCTAAAAAAATCTACCAAAAATGCCAGTGTCTGACCTTTTTGTAGACTTGGCTACTGCTCTAGGCGAAATATCTCGAGTTCCCCACCTAGCTCAATGCTCCAAATGATCTAGAGTCTTGTCGTAGTAGCCCTTAACTACTGAGCGTCGAGAAAAGTTGCGGTTTCACCTTAGAGCCGAAGCCAGGGCTACAAAAAGGTCAGATAATAGCAGTTTTTTAGAAAAAAATTTAACTTTGAGGCGTAATATCTCGAGTTCCCCACCTAGCTCAATGCTCTGAATGCTATCAAGTGTTGTCCTAGTACCCCTTTACTATTTGGCGTAGAGAAAAATTGCGGATTTGCCACAGCCGAAGACAAGCCTTCAAACAGGTCAGAAAATGGCATTTTTGGTAGATTTTTAGGAAATTTGTTAACTTTGAGGCGAAATATCTCGAGTTCCCCACCTAGATCAATGCTTCAAATGATCTTAAGTGTTGTTCTAGTACCCCTCAACTAGCTGGCGTCGAGAAAAGTTGCGGATTCACCATTGAGCCCAAGCCAGGGCTTCAAAAATGTTCAAAAATGGCATTTTTGGTAGATTTTTCTGATTTTGTAAACTTTGAGGCGAAATATCTCGAGTTCCCCACCTAGTTCAATGCTACAAACGTTCTCAAGTCTTGTCCTAGTACCCCTTAACAAGTTGGCGTCGAGAAAAGTTGCGGATTCGCTAAACAGCAGAAGCCATGGGTGTCAAGAACTGAAAATACGGCGTTTTTACCCCTTTTTTCTCAAAAATGGCGTCTCTGTGACGCTTGGATGGTCCTGTGGCCTTTCTCCTACCAGAATGCGTCTTTCTGCATTAAGTGAAGTCAGTTAGAACAATAAAATATTTTTTTCCCACTTTTCGATCTTTCATTACACTGTGGGCCGGCCGGCGCAGGTACACGGAAAATCCCTCCACGCGTACTGCATGCAGTGCGTGTGGATCAGTGGCGAGGATTCTGTGATTGGCTATCATATATTGAGCATCCTCGTTGATTATTAACATTGCAAAACTTAACATACACTCATCGCATAGGAAATAGCAGTACACTCTCAGATTCTTCTGATGAAAGGGTCATCACAACTTACGTTGAAATGAGAACAGACGTACTACAATAAAATTCATACGTAATACGATGAAATCATGCATACCTTATGTAGAAACCATGCGTTATACGATTAAATCATGCATACCTTACGCTGAAACCTATGCATATTACGTATGTGCAAATTTATGCGTACCTTACGATGAAAAACCATCGTAATACGTATAAAAACGATCATAAGATGTTGAGAGTGTATAATCTTTTTTTTAACCGACATAATTTATTCAAACAACCGCTAACTGCCTGCAGCATTTCTCTTTTCCACGAATTAAATTTCCCACATGTTAAATACTACCGTTGATATAAGCCTGTACTACCACCTAGATGAAAACCAAGCGAGTATCATCTGCTTTACGTTCGTTGAATGATTTTTAAACATAAATCTCAATGTTGCAAGTGAAAATTATTGTGCTTCACCATGATCCTTGGCTCGTTTGACAGGTGATAAAAATTCTGCACCTTCAGGGATCCCAGGTGTTTTGTTATTTCATCTTGTTTGGTTTTAAACCTTTAATTTACTTCGTTCTGGATGTACCTAACTAATAGACTATTCTAGTCGTGGCTGAGTTAAGAACAAGAAGAATCACAAAAGTGTACTTTTTCGCACTTTTACTTCAAATGTTTAAGTCCCCTTGCTTGGTAGAAGTTAATTCAAATATTTTATAGTAAATGCAACATATTTCATTAAATATATTCACTTTAAATGCCCTAAATGGCGTCTTTTGTGATTCTTCTTGTTCTTCACTCAGCCACGACTAGTATAGTCTATTAACTTCGAGTCCTGATGTCAGGCTCGAACTGTATTTTTTCGGACCAAACGTGACTCGTTCATGATCGTATCGTATATTATTCCCGAGACCAAATGTTGCCAATTAAAAAGAGGGGCCATAAATTTAAGACCTAAAGAACTCACCACACTGTTAAAAAATTCGGATTGAAATTTCATAACATGTTAATGTAATTATTATCACTTTTCTGTTATGAAATTTCATGGCGATTTTCTGCTGTGAACGTCACATTGTCCAGGTCATCGAAAGCAGACGCCAGGAACGTCAAGAGCGACGCAAAGGCAGTGTGTCCATCTCGGACAAAGACTTGGGTGCGTATTCATTGTACACTGCAACGACAGTAATCCTTATTTTTCATGCAGAGTCTGATATGATGTATGAAGGGTGGGTCTGGGAGGAACACCTCGACACTATTTTTGCCCTGTATGAAATCGCAACAAGGGCGACATTATTGTCCGAGAGAACGGGTTGAGATGAGTGTCTCTCCTTTCCAGGCCTTAAGCGGAGGGAGGCCTTCCTAGACCTTCTCCTGGAGGCCAGTGACTCAGCGGGCGCCGCCCTGAGCGACTCCGACGAGGAGGTGGACACCTTCATGTTCGGGGTGAGAAACATGTGGGTTTTGGTTAGGTTGGATACTCGTGGAAGAGGATGCCTTACCTGACGGGGTAACGACCGGGGTGGTGAATTGGTCATCGAGTAATGCGGGTCATTTTTTGGCGAAATTAGGTGAAATTTATAGGTTATCGGAGGGAAAATCCGGCTTATCCGCCTGACACGGAGGAGTTATTACCCCCTCCACGCCACCTCTTCGATGCTCACTTCCAAATGCCCCGCTTCATAATACGAAGCATCTTCCTGATCCTACAATTCCTTCGTTTTCTTCATAATACGAAGCGATTCTTCTTAAAGATTTAAATTTGTAGCATTTTACAAATTTAGGTGCAAGAGGTGAATTTTTCAAACCTTAAATGGCTAGAATAGGGCCCTCAATCTTTTTTTTTTTTTTTTTTTTTTTTTTCATTTTTACAGTTTAGGAATCAACATAAAATTGCTACAAGATGCGCTATCTTACTTTTGCGACTTTGAAAAAGGGGGCGCATTCGACCACCCGGCATACGGTTGCCTTTTTACCACTAAACTGTATTTCACGGTTTGTAATTGCTCAGGGGCACGACACCACGGCGGCGGCCATGTCCTTTATCTTCTACAACCTTGCCGCCAATCCGGAAGTCCAAGCCCGCCTGGCCGAGGAGGTGGCCGAGGTCTTCGGTGCCTCCGATGGCGCAGTGACATCGCAGGACCTCGCCCAGTTGAAGTACACCGAAAGGGTCATCAAGGAGAGCCTGCGCCTCTACCCCAGCGTGCCTCTGTTTGCTCGCAGGATAGATGAGGAGCTTCCAATCACAGGTAAAAAAATACTTCACTCTGTCAGAATTTATATTTCAGGACTGTAGGAATAATTTATTTTACGCTGTAAGAAATTTTATTGGCTGAGCGATAGCGAAGCTTGTTACTCCACTGGGGTTGAAAAGTTTTTCATGTCTGTCTGTCTGTGTGTCTGCACTACTCCTCCTAAACGGCTCGACCGATTCGGCTGAGATTTTGCAGGGTCATTGGGCATATCCTTGGCTCGCCACACACCAAAATTCAGCTTTCTATCTCAATCCATTCGGTCATATTAGCCAAAAAAACACTTCAAAAACGGCAGGAAAAAGACAACTTTCTTGGAACTTTTTACTTTTTGGTAAGTTCCATGTCGTTTTAAATGTTTTTGAGGCTGCTGATGACGAAAATAGAACCTATTCGGACCTCCGACCGAAAGCTTAGCCCCATTAGTGTAGATTTTGGTGACCAACTGCTCTTTTTGAGGGGATCACGCCCATTTCCTCGGTCGCTGCCTAGGAAGGCAGCAGCCTGCCGAAGGCAGGTTAGCGCTGCAGGCCAAGGTTGGTGTATACGCCAGGCGTGGATTGTCGAAACTGGCGCAGCATCGCGAAGCCTGTTACAAGACACGGTCTGGCGTACACCTACCTTGTTTTTACACTGCATAATTTTTGTTTTTACACCAAAGGTTTTTTTTCAATCACAATATGTTAACATACTCATTACCTGACACAAAGCCATCGCAGCACCTCGGCTCGGCCAGCGCGGGCAGGCCAAACCGCGCGGCTAATCCCGCGCGGGTAATCAATCCCTCGCCCGCCGGCCAGATCATCGGCCGACTGCGGTCCCGGTCGTATAAACAACAATAATACTTAGTATTTTCTAAGTATGACTAATTTCCTTTGTAAAATTATGTACAAAACAAAATTCCCAGTACCTTAGTTATTATTTCCTAAGTTGTTCTTTAAAAAGAAAAAGTACGTATTATGGTTGTACAAATTACTTACGTAACTACTGACAAAATGAGCAAAAAGTCAATAACGTGCTGAGAGTGGGGGTCCTCAGCTGGATCGGCCGAGCCTTTCTGTATATGGTCAAAATAATAGAAAATGTTTTTTGACCCCAGCAATGGACTATGCTAACGTTCCGCCAAGAACAGTCAAATCACTAGCAATTTGTAATAAGAGTGAGTCTTGTTTACAGGTGGTTATGTGATTCCCGCTGGCACCGGTGCCTTGATTGCCTGCTACCAAATGAATCGCAACCCAGCGTTTTTTCCGGATCCAGAAAAGTTTGATCCGGACCGATTCCTTCCTGAGAACTGCACCGGTAGACATCCGTATGCCTACGTGCCCTTTTCAGCAGGACCCAGAAACTGCATTGGTAAGTTCAACCAGGGCTCTGCAGCGTTCCCCAGAGTGCCTCCAACCCTTAAATCTCTATTTTGGGTCTCTAGAACCCTGGTACAAACCGCCAGACCGTACACTGTTCGGGATTATTTTGTGAAATTACGACTACTTGTCTGTTAAATATGTACCACGAACTGCTCGTAAATTTCAAAAACAATCTGATCATCCATCTTTTTTTCGTCAATTTACAAAAATATTCTTAAACTTACAAACTTAAACCTCAAATTTTGGTCGTTTCAGGCATTTTTTCTTCCCATATTAGTAAGGAAACAACGAACGAAAATGCATTTTTCAGACTTGCTTTTACAATCATACTTGTAAATTTACAATTTCACCTGTAAAACTAAGAAGCAGTTTGTAAAATGATAAACAGTTTGTCAATTTACAATTTACTTTGTAAAAAAACAGTGCAGTTTGTGGTACAGATTTAACAGGCAAGTACTCATAAAAGTGAGCTTGATTAGTAAGAAAACAAGTATACGCGTGAATAGTCGTAAGATAACGGTTTTAGCAGTAAAACTACGTCAGTAACATTAAGATTTCATCGTAAAATTACGAATTTATTCCTAAATTTATGAGTAAAGTTTGTCGAAAATATGACAATTGTTCATTTCATGAATCTTGTAGTTATTTTACGAATTATTCTTTGTAAAATTACAACACTAATTGTTGGGGTTACTGTTGTAAAATAACGACTTTTCTTAACAGTGTACTCCAAATCGAAAGGCGGTTATATTTCCACCCTTCCAGTAATACTGGCGGTAATTTTGTATTGGCGGTGTCCACGTTTTACCGCTAATATGAAGGGCGAGGGGGCAACCACATTGGATGTTTCGAGGGGTCCTATTCAAAAGATCTTATCCGCGCGTTCCCCCCAAGACAATCTTATCTTAAGCCCGAATCACACTAGCGGATAGCGGGTGGGGATGGCGGTTGTGGATGCGGGTGCGGGTGGCGCTCGACCAATCACAGCGAAGCGGTTGGCGATGGCGGGTGCGGATGAGAGAATAGCCGACCGGCTATTTTTTCATCCGGCAACCGCATCCGCAGCCAATGAGAGTCGCTCGTTTTGTCACGTGACACAGCAGACGACAGCGCAGCCCGCGCAAAGCCGTCGCCGCGAGAACAAAGCACCTGTTGGTAGGAAAGGCGATTCTACACTAAGTTTTCTCGTTTTAACGTGTGGTCTCGGGGCGCATCTACATTGAAATGCCACCAAAGAAAAACAAAAATTTGTTTACTATCGAAAATGAAATTTTAATGATTGAACTTATCGAAAGAAGGCCGATATTGTGGGATTCAACTTCTGAGTGCTACAAACGAGCCGACTTGAAAAATGCAGTTTGGAATGAAATCGCTCAGATTATGGGCCCTAATTTTACTGGTGAGTGGAATAATAGGCCATGTTTTCACTCAATCATTAATTACAATCTTAACTTTTGAAGTGTGTGGAGGGTTAGACTAAAGTATTATTTTTAGGTTATGCTGACTTGTACCTATGTGCTAAAAAGTGTGTCCAATGTTTGTTTGCAGATGAAATGCTCTCCAATCGATGGAAGAGCATGAGAGAAAGTTTTGCGGATAATTGGAATCGGCTAAAGGAATCGAAGAGGAAATGTAGTGGAAAAAAAGTGAGCTGATTAGTAAGAAAACAAGTATACGCTGAATAGTCGTAAGATAACGGTTTTAGCAGTAAAACTACGTCAGTAACATTAAGATTTCATCGTAAAATTACGAATTTTCCTAATTTATGAGTAAAGTTTGTCGAAAATATGACAATGTCATTTCATGAATCTTGTAGTTATTTTACGAATTATTCTTTGTAAAATTACAACACTAATTGTTGGGGTTACTGTTGTAAAATAACGACTTTTCTTAACAGTGTACTCCAAATCGAAAGGGGTTATATTTCCACCCTTCCAGTATACTGGCGGTAATTTTGTATTGGCGGTGTCCACGTTTTACCGCTAATATAAGGGCGAGGGGGCAACCACATTGGATGTTTCGAGGGTCCTATTCAAAGATCTTATCCGCGCGTTCCCCCAAGACAATCTTATCTTAAGCCCGAATCACACTAGCGGATAGCGGGTGGGGATGCGGTTGTGGATGCGGTGCGGGTGGCGCTCGACCAATCACAGCGAAGCGGTTGGCGATGGCGGGTGCGGATGGAGAATAGCCGACGGCTATTTTTTCATCCGGCAACCGCATCCGCAGCCATTGAGAGTCGCTCGTTTTGTCACGTGACAAGCAGACAAGCGCAGCCCGCGCAAAGCCGTCGCCGCGAGAACAAAGCACCTGTTGGTAGAAAGGCGATTCTACACTAAGTTTTGCGTTTTAACGTGTGGTCTCGGGGCGCATTACATTGAAATGCCACCAAGAGAAAACAAAATTTGTTTACTATCGAAAATGAAATTTTAATGATTGAACTATCGAAAGAAGGCCGATATTGTGGGATTCAACTCTGAGTGCTACAACGAGCCGACTTGAAAAATGCAGTTTGGAATGAAATCGCTCAGATTATGGGCCCTAATTTTACTGGTGAGTGGAATAATAGGCCATGTTTTCACTCAATCATTAATTACAATCTTAACTTTTGAAGTGTGGAGGGTTAGACTAAAGTATTATTTTTAGGTTATGCTGACTTGTACCTATGTGCTAAAAAATGTGTCCAATTTTGTTTGCAGATGAATGCTCTCCAATCGATGCAAGATGCATGAGAGAAAGTTTTGCGGATAATTGGAATCGGCTAAAGGAATCGAAGAGGAAATGTAGTGGAATGGAGCTGATGACGGGTACAAACCGAAGTGGAAGCTTTGGTCTAAACTTCAGTTTCTTATTAAAACTTGCATGCAGTCAGATTCCTTTTCCAATCTTCCTGCTGGAACTATAACCCAAATTCACTTATTGATTTGGAGATTGAAAGAGCATTGATTGTTCTGCGAAAGACTTGATCAAAGTTAATCGCCAGTACCTATCAGTGTTTACTCATGATGAAATTTGAAGGTGAGTGCCACAATCACATTGTAAGGAATAACAATTTAGCCACTACGCATTATTTTAATAAATCAATTTTTGTATATCATTTCAGAAATACATGATGATTCCCAAGGATTCCAACTTCTCGCTTGTTTCGAGCTGTGATTCTATATTTCAAGAAATGTCATCTGACACAGGAAATTCTGAGTTATCACCCTTTTCTCCTCGGCCATCCTCATCACCAAGGCCATGCAGCTCTCCAGCTCTGACTGAAGGATCTCAAGTTGTACGATCAGGCCCTTCATCAGCACCAGGTGCTGTCGAATTTCCAAGGAGTGGCACTCAGGTTGGGAAAGATTCTACAGGAATGTTTGGAAAGCGTGGCACAGCTAAACGTAAAGCAGCTGATACTCTAGATGAGGCACTGCGTGTTGTTAAGGAGATGGCAAAGGAGCCAGAGCCAGCCGCTGCACCACCTGACAGTGTTGATACCTTTTTGTCTTTTGTGGGAAGTCGGCTGAGAGCAATGGATTCTGGAGTGCGCAAGCAGTGTGAGGACCAAATACTGTCAATGTTGGTGTCAGTCTCTTAGAAATAATGCTAAGGTTTTTATTTCTATTTTTTACTTTCATTAAGCTCTCTTACTTAACAGTATTTTCCTAAGTATTATTATTTCTTACTCTCCTTGCAGCATATTTTCTTGCTGTGGTTTGCTGTTTTAGTTTTAAAATTAAAACAATGCCAAATATGTCTCTTACATTATCTAGTTATGTTTTTCTTAGTCAGTGTTAAAATTTGCCAAAAAGTAACCAATGGTGCCAAAAAGTTTATGCTGAGTCTATGCACTGAGAATCCAAACGCTATGAGTATAGCGTCAATTGGTGCGATGCAAAAGCATTGCACATGAAGTGCAATGCCTCCCTTTTCCCATGCATTAGCATAGGACATTTTCGGGATGCATTGCACTTAAGGTGCAATATGGCTGAGGCATTGCACGTATGGTGCGATATGTCGACGCATTGCACCACACGTGCAATACTCATAGCGTTTGGAATTTCAGTGTGTTAGGTTGACCAATGAGTGTGAGGTACCAAAAACAAAATTGGATTACCAAACAGTTCAAGACCCTGTATAAGTATTAATTAATGCAAAATATATTTTTGTTAACTTTGGTAGTATGTATTTTAAGTACAGTTGGATACCAAAATTGATTATATTTTTATATTATAAGCTTTGCTTGACAATTTTTATTTTTATTACTGTTTTGTACTTCCATATGTATAAATAAATTTTCCAAACATTGCAAACAAATGATGTTACAACAGTCAATGTCTCAAACCAAACCAATACACTGTGCACATGGTGATAACATTAAACTCCTTGAGCACTCACTGATCACTTATTATATCTTGCGTGGTCAGTCATTTTGTCTTGCCACGGTACAGTTCCCACAGTGTTGAAATAAGCACACCATCTGTCTCTCAACGCCAATGCAGCATCTGCATGTCGATTTCCTCCTTGGTTTGCAAACCGAACAAGACCGCCACATTGCTCCTGGTGATATTCTCCCAGTCGTATAGTTCCTGCCATCTCGTCTTCAACATCCAGCATATGGGGAGGCGCATACATGGCACGACCAACACTGTTTGACCGTAGACAGTTGTGGAGACAAAAAATTGCTTTCAAAATGTGACAGACATCATCAGGATCGTAACACATTGGAGCCCTAAGAATTTGAAATCTTGCAGCCATTATCCCAAATGCGTTCTCAGAGCATCGTCTTGCCCTGCTCAACCTATAAGAGAACAAGAAAAAAAAACGGGAAAAGTATTGCACAGAACTTCAGGTGGAATGTCGGGGAAAAACTTTAAAAAGTGACATACCTGAAATTTAAATATTCTTCTATCCCTTCTATTTGAGACAGATTCCTTGGGGTAGGGAAATTAAGATTTTTTTCTGACAATGTAAACCCTTCGTAAACCCACAATTACATAGGGGAATTCTTGTTCAGTCCCAAACAGCCTTGATGGTTGAGGAACTGACATAGTATTTTTTTTCTAAATGTCTTTTCAGGGAACAGCTGTTCCATATTCCCCTGTCTGAGGCACGACCATTGGTTCCCACATCTACATACACAAAGCGCAGTTGTGCATCCACAACACCCATCAGAACAATGCTAAACGTTTCATGATAATTGTAGTACATGGATCCTGACTTCAATGGGCGAGTAATGGCTACATGTTTTCCATCCATTGCCCCAATACAATGAGGAAAGTTCCATCGGTCTTCAAAATCCTGTGCAACTACTTTCCACTCCCTCCTCGCTGCTGGGGAACCGCATATGGTCTGGTGCAAGAACTTTAACAATGGCTTTAACATTTTCTTTGAAAATTCCTGATATAGTACTTTGTCCCAGACGGAAACTAAGATGTAATGAATCCTGACTCTCACCTGTTAAAAAAGAAAATGGGCATTTTTTAAACTCTGTAAAAATTTAAAACACAGAGTTGAAAACAAAATTGTATTAAAAAAAAGAAAAAAATACCTGTTGCCAAGTGTCTTAATGTTAGAGAAAGGCGCTCAGCTGGAGAAATACTTTCTCGTAAATGAGTATTCTGTTTCTGAATCAACGGTGTCACTCTCTCCAGCAGATTCATAAACATGTCGGTATCCATTCGCAAGCACCTAGAATAACGGATTTAATAAATAACTTCAAAAACGAAGACTGACAGTGCTGGTGTCGGAAAATTTAAAATGATTTTTTGGTCACCTGCGAATTTTTCTGGATCTTCCAACTGCAATTCCAAGAAAAAATTGTGATGACACCCTTTTTTTTTTCTTCTAGCAACATAATGCCGAATCCAAATTTGTCTGTCAGGTAGACTGTCTTTCATGTAAGCAATAATCACAAGGAGAGCAGCCAAAATAACTTTTCTCCTACGGCGCTGCTGGTATAACCTCTCCATATTTACACACAGCTGTCTTTCACAACAAAGTTTCCGACGCCCTCTGTTAAAAATCGGAACGGACTGGCACGTTCTGAGCTGTTGCAGAGAAGGCTGTGCGGTCGGCGGGATCCGCAACCGCATCGAGTAGTGTGATTGGTGTATCCCCCACCCGCATACGCATCCACAACCGCCATCCCCCCCGCTATCCGCTAGTGTGATTCGGGCTTTAAACGCATGCCAATTTCACTCAGTTTGACCACTTGGGATGGGTACGAGAGTAAGCGGGATATATTTCTGCATGCACTATTGGTTTCTTTGATCTTTCATCTTTACATTTCAGTGAATTTAATCACAAATTTTATTGATTTGTAGCTGTATCAAATGATCAAACTGAGTGAAATTTGCCTGCGTTTAAGATAAGATTGTCTTGGGGGGAACGGGCAGATAAGATCTTTTGAATAGGACCCCTCGAGTTTGGGGCCACAAGATTTCTTCAGGCTAAAGATTTCGTCGGATTTTGCAAAGATTTTAACCGTTATTCCGCTCAAAATTAGCTTGTTTTTGGCCTTTTGGGGGGCAACATTTCAGATTTCCCAGAGATTTCTAACGCTAAGGGGACGACACAAGATTCCTAGAGTGGTTGCCCCCTCGATGAAGGGGGTACAGAAATTACCGCCCTAATAGAACCGTTTGTACCTCTTTTGGAGAGCTTTACCGCCTTTTTTGGCACACTGGGAAACGTTATTGGCGGTACTCCTCGTTTTGTCCCCACTATGGGTCCTTCGTTTTGTTGTACCTATTTTTACGCACTATCTAAACGGAGCGCAATTGGCGGTGATTCATTGTACCGTTGCTTTCCATTGGTTTGTAGGGTGCTTAATTGGCAGGCTCCAGCGGGACAGCACTGAGAATCCAAACGCTATGAGTATAGCGTCAATTAGTGCAATGCAAAAGCATTGCACATGAAGTGCAATGCCTCCCCATTCCCATGCATTAGCATAGGGCATTTTCGGGACGCATTGCGTGCAATATGGCCATGGCATTGCACGTATGGTGCGATATCTCAGCTGCATTGCACCATACGTGCTATACTCATAGCGCTTGGAATCTCAGTGAGGTTTCACCTCCTTCGCCGCACCATGTGTGTGAAACGCCCGTAGATTTGTAATGCGGGGTCAAGAAACTGCTTCGAGCGGTCACGACGAGGGTCACCATCATTTGAGCATTGTGTCATGTTCGTTAGGATGTGAATAAGCTAATTTATGGCTGATTCACATCCAGACGGATGTGTAACAATGCTCAAACGAACGTGACATTTGATCCAGGAAGCGGAAGAACGGAATAATTCGACTTGTCTCCAAATTGAGTTTTTATTATGTCGTTGTACCTTACAATGGTTTGCATCATTGTACCAAATTATTTGACTCAATTCCTAGCAGTTAAAGAGAAAATCCACCTCAAGAAAAGGTGTAACTCAACTTGACCCCTTCTCAATTTAGCGGAAAATGGAAACATCTCAACTGAAGTCAACATGACTCCGTTCAACATATTGTTGATAGGAGATAACTCAACTTGTGTTTTTATGTATCCATTGTAAAGAGAATCAAGTCAACTTACCCCCCCTTTAATTTTAAGAACTTAGACGGAAAAAGGAGCTAAGTCCAAAAAATGCACCAGAGGAACCAACACTCCCCGCTGACTATAGTTCCACTTGACATGTCTCCAAATTCCACTTCGTTTATGAAATATAAGTTGAGATGACTCTGTTTTCCATTTTAGCGGAAAGCGATAAGTCACTAATAGCCTGTACGCAGTGACCTGACACTCCTGATGTTCATCTCAAAATTTAACTTACATTTTTAAAACTAGTTAGCATCTACAACACTCCATTGTTTAGTTTTAGATTTCCCTGCTAACAGGTTTTTGTTGCTCCTGAAAAATGGTCAAAATGGAGTTATCCCCTTCTTCCGCTCCCTGGATCATTTTGTCACATTCGTTTCTTTATTATAGAATGAGGCGAGGTGCGGGTGGTGCGGGGAGAGGGGGGCAGGAAGGGAGTCGGGGAGGGGGCGTACACGCATATAAACTTTGTGATACACTTTTGCTGAGAAAATAAATCCAATGCAAACTTAACGGAAGTTTTTTTTTCTATTTCCAGGACAAAAGTTTGGAATGCTTCAGATGAAATCGACGGTGGCGAAGGTGGTGCGGCACTGCGTCCTGAGCCTTCCCCGTCCCGGCTACAAACCGGTGGTGACGGGCCGGGTCATCCTCAGGGCCGAAGATGGCGTACAGCTCAAAGTGTCACCAAGAAAAATGGCCATCTCACCATGTTAACCATTAAAATTAATACACGTATTCAGACCCTTTCCGATCTTGATGCAATTTTTTGTCACCTTAGCCCAAAGAATTTTTTTGTGCAAAATGTCAATTTACTGAAAATCTATCGGCGTGACTTCGTGCCGCTGCAGGGGCGTGAATTAAGTGTCACGCCACTAAACGGCGTAACAGAAAGTTCACGCCGAAAATCAGCGTGACTCAAAAATTCACGCTAATTTTAGGCGTGAATTTCTTGTCATGCCGCTTTTTGGCGTGACTTGTCTCATAAAACGCGTTGTCATTCACGCCAAATGAGGGCGTGACTCACATGTCACGCCGTTTAGCGGCGAGAATAATTTCGTGTCACGCCCTTATTTGGCCATGTGTCTGACCATTACGTTTTCAGTGATTGTGTTGGACGAAAACTTCCGGAGATATCGAGGTTCTTTGTCTATCTTTTAAAAATCATCTAACGTCACTGTTCTCAAAAGGACATAAAGAGGAGAAGGCCGTTGGAAGCGCAAAACTGCGGAGCCTGAATAAGAAATCAGATTTGAGATTCAAGTACCGTAGAACGGGGTAATATGAAACATGAAGGAAAATCGAGACAAAGCGCACTTTTTTCGGTTTTTGTCGCGTTGCTCTCTAGCGGTTGTTCGGAAGACCACCGTGATTTTTTTTTCTCGATCTGGGAGGCCGCGGCAGCTCACAGGAAGCGCACGAAGGCTATCAGAGACTCGCCAGGATTGTTTAGAACCACCGGAAAAATCTCTAAATTCCAACAAGTTTCATAAAGTTAGTAAAAACCTCCCCAGAAATCTCGGTTAGAACTCAGGTTTGCATCTATAGGCAATTATGTCAACATAATCAGGTTAAAATTTGGTTCCGTTATGTCTACTCCCGGGGCTGCCTGTTCCAGATGGAACACAATTTTGTTACCTTGCAGGGAATAGAGACACCTCTTTTCGCTTGAAACATGAAGCCAAACATAATCCACTGTTAACAAGGTAGGTTTACGCCAGACCGCGTCTTGTCGTAACAGGCTTCGCGATGTCTCGCTGCCTGTTCCTCCAATCCACGCCTGGCGTACCTACCTTGGCCTGCGGCGCTAGCCTGCCTGCGGCAGGCAATGGCTTGTCCGTTGTCGGTTATTTTTTAACTTGTTGAATGCTGGGGGGCTCCCAGACCCCCTACATTCTGAATAGAGTTGTCTTATCTGCAGATAACACGATCTTGACCCTTGTCACTTTTTAACTTGTCGAGGCTGGGGGGCTCCGCCCCCCAGACCCCCCTTTCTCCAAGCCAGAAGTGATCTATCTGCAGAAAGCTCTATTTTTCGCCGTTTTTTAGGTGTTTTTCGGCTATAAAAACTGAACCAGTTGAGCTAGGATGGTGAAATTTCGCGTGTGCCGAGCCAAGGACATACCCAAAAAGTGTGCAAAATCTCACCGAGATCGGCCGAGCCGTTCAGGAGGAGTAGTGCGGACACACACGCACGCACGCACGAACGCACGCACACACGCAGACAGGAAAAACTTTTCAACCCCACCTGAGTAACGGGCTTCGCTATCGCTCAGCCAACAAGGTAGGTTTACGCCAGACCGCGTCTTGTCGTAACAGGCTTCGCGATGTCTCGCTGCCTGTTTCTCCAATCCGCGCCTGGCGTAAGTACCTACCTTGGCCTGCGGCGCTAGCCTGCCTGCGGCAGGCAATGGCTTGTCCATTGTTGGTTGTTTTTTAACTTGCTGAATCCTGGGGGGCTCCGCCCCCCAGACCCCCCTACATTCTGAATAGAGTTGTTTTATCTACAGATAACACGATCTTGACCCTTGTCACTTTTCAACTTGTCTCTCCAAGACAGAAGTGAGCTACCCGCGGAAAACTCGATTTTTCGCCGTTTTTTAGGTGTTTTATTGGCTATAAAAACTGAACCATTTGAGCTAGGGTAGTGAAATTTCGCGTGTGCCAAGCCAAGGACATACCCAAAGAGTGTGCAAAATCTCACCGAGATCGGCCGAGCCGTTCAGGAGGAGTAGTGCGGACACACAGACAGACAGACAGACAGAAAAAACTTTTCTACCCCACTGGAGTAACAGGCTTCGCTATCGCTCAGCCAAAAAATAACCGACAACGGACAAGCCATTGCCTGCCGCAGGCAGGCTAGCGCCGCAGGCCAAGGTAGGTACGCCAGGCGTGGATTGGAGGAGCAGGCAGCGAGACATCGCGAGGCCTGTTACGTCAAGACGCGGTCTGGCGTAAACCTACCTTGTACCTTAAAAGTACAAGGTAGGTTTACGCCAGACCGCGTCTTGTCGTAACAGGCTTCGCGATGTCTCGCTGCCTGTTCCTCCAAACCGCGCCTGGCGTACCTACCTTGGCCTGCGGCGCTTGCCTGCCTTCGGCAGGCAGTGGCTTGTACATCGACGGTAACTTGTAACTTCATGCATGCTGGGGGGCCCCCTCACACCCCCCTTCATTCTAGATCCCTTGTAACTTATCAACTTGTCGGGGCTGAGCCCCCCAGACCCCCCTTCTTCAAGGCAGAAGTGATCTGTCTGCAGGAAACTCGATTTTTCGCCGTTTTTAGGTGTTTTTCGGCTATAAAAACTGAACCAGTTGAGCTAGGATAGTGAAATTTCGCGTGTGCCGAGCCAAGGACATGCCCAAAAAGTGTGCAAAATCTCACCGAGATCGGCCGAGCCGTTCAGGAGGAGTAGTGCGGACACACAGACAGACAGACAGACAGACAGACGTACAGACAGACAGGAAAAACTTTTCAACCCCAATGGAGTAACAGGCTTCGCTATCGCTCAGCCAATAATTTGAAGTAATAATGATTTTAACTCCAATTTGTTTTACTATCTGACCGACATATTTGCTTTTCGTTTAGTGTTTTCATGTGACAGGCAAACTCATGACTTCTCCTACATTTTCCAGCTCTCTTTAGTGGCACCCATTTTTCTCCCCTCCAGATTTTATATCGTCTCCATTATAGTTTCCAATCATCTTTTAAATGAGTGAAAAGAACTTTAAAAGCTCGAAACCCGCCTAAATGAGTTAATTCTCCATACTTCTTTAACATTTCTTTCTTTTGTCTCATATTACCCCACATTGCAGGGAAATATGGGACGGCATTCCGAGGGTTATTGAAAGGTCCCTACTGCACCTAAAAATCTGAAATTTGGTGCGAGTGTAGCCAAAGGGTCAATGAACAAGTGATGAACACCTCAGTACCCCAAATTGAAAAGGGGAAATTTAAAAAAAAAACGAAATTTGTCTCATATTACCCCATTCTACGGTACCTCACTAGTAAAAATTTAGGGAATGTTTCATCCCTACATGTCGAGGGGTCCTATTCAAAAGATCTTATCTGGGCGTTCCTCCCAATACAATCTTATCTTAAACGCTGGCAAATTTCACTCATTTTTATCAATCAGAATAAATACGACGGTTAGCGAAACATATTTCTACATGCACTTTTGGTTTCTTTGATCTTCCATCTTTAGATTTACTTGAACAAACTCACAAATTATTGGCTGAGCGATAGCGAAGCCTGTTACTTCAGTGGGGTTGAAAAGTTTTGTCTGTCTGTCTGTGTGTGTGTCCGCACTACTCCTCCTGAACGGCTCGGCCGATCTCGGTGAGACTTTGCACACTTCGTGGGTATGTCCTTGGCTCGGCACACGCGGAATTTCACCATCCTAGCTCAACTGGTTCAGTTTTTTGGCTGAGCGATAGCGAAGCCTGTTACTCCAGTGGGGTTGAAAAGTTTTTCCTGTCTGTCCGTCTGTCTGTCCGTCTGTCTGTGTGTCCGCACTACTCCTCCTGAACGGCTCGGCCGATCTCGGTGAGATTTTGCACACTTCTTGGGTATGTCCTTGGCTCGGCACACGCGAAATTTCACCATCCTAGCTCAACTGGTCCAGTTTTTATAGGCGAAAAACACCTAAAAAACGGCGAAAAATAGAGCTTTCTGCAGATCGATCACTTCTGGATGGGAGCAAGGGGGTCTGGGGGCGGAGCCCCCCAGCCTCGACAAGTTGAAAAATGACAAGGGTGAAGATCGTGTTATCTGTAGATAAAACAAACTATTTAGAATGTAGGGGGGTCTGGGGTGCGGAGCCCCCCAGCATTCAACAAGTCAAAAAATAACCGACAATGGACAAGCCATTGCCTGCCGCAGGCAGGCTAGCGCCGCAGGCCAAGGTAGGTACGCCAGGCGTGGATAGGCCATTCCGCTGCTTGGAAAAGAGGAAGAAAAGAAGTACACAACATCCGTCCCCTCGCCTGCGGGGGGACGAGAGGGGCAGCGGAAGTTCCGTCCCCCCGCAGGCGAGGGGACAGAAGTACGTACTTCTTTTCTTCCTCTTTTCCAACCAGCGGAATGGCCTATTGGAGGAACAGGCAGCGAGACATCGCGAAGCCTGTTACGACAAGACGCGGTCTGGCGTACACCTACCTTGTATAGCCGAAAAACACCTAAAAAACGGCGAAAAATAGAGCTTTTTGCAGATAGATCACTTCTGGCTTGGAGAAAGGGGGGTCTGGGGGGCGGAGCCCCCCAGCTTCGTGAAGTTAAAAAGTGACAAGGGTCAAGATCGTGTTATCTGTAGATAAAACAACTCTATTTAGAATGTAGGGGGAGCATTCAACAAGTTAAACAAGGTAGGTGTACGCCAGACTGTGTCTTGTCGTAACAGGCTTCGCGATGCTGCGCCAGTTTCGACAATCCACGCCTGGCGTATACACCTACCTTGGCCTGCGGCGCTAACCTGCCTTCGGCAGGCTGCCTTCCTTGGCAGACCGTGGAAATGGGCGTGATCCCCTCCAAAAGAGCATTTGGTCATCAAAATCTACACTAATGTGGCTAAACTTTCGGTCGGGGGTCTGAATGGGTTCTATTTTCGTTATCAGCAGCCTCAAAAACATTTAAAACGACATTAAACTTGACAAAAAGTTGAAAGTTCCAAAAAAATTGTCTTTTTCCTGCCGTTTTTAAAGTGTTTTTTGGCTAATATGACCGAATGGATTGAGATAGAAAGCTGAATTTTGGTGTGTGGCGAGCCAAGGATATGCCCAATGAACCTGCAAAATCTCAGAAGAATCGGCCGAGCCGTTTAGGAGGAGTAGTGCGGACACACAGACACACACAGACAGACAGACAGACAGACATGAAAAACTTTTCAACCCCACTGGAGTAACAGGCTTCGCTATCGCTCAGCCAAAAATAACCGACAATGGACAAGCCATTGCCTGCCGCAGGCAGGCTAGCGCCGCAGGCCAAGGTAGGTACGCCAGGCGTGGATTGGAGGAACAAGCAGCGAGACATCGCGAAGCCTGTTACGACAAGACGCGGTCTGGCGTAAACCTACCTTGTATTGATATGTAGCTGTACCAAATGATCAAACCATGTGAAATTCACCTGCGTTTAAGATAAGATTGTCTTGGGGGGAACGCCCAGTTAAGATCTAATGAATAGGACTCCTCGATGTACACCCCGTTGCATTGGCCCCATCCGATTTGCTCCATATTTTGGTCAAATGTTCCCCACATATAGGTACACTGTAAAAAATTCCGTACTTTTGTACGGAAATGGTACAGAAAAATTTAGTACGGAGGTACGGAGAAAAGTACGGAACGTTCCGTACTTGCTGCATATGAACCCATGTAAATGGGTACGGAAACATAGTACGGAACGTTCCGTAGTTGGCAAGTACGGACGGTCCAGGCAAATTATTGACCAGACGTGTTCCGTACTTTTTCCGTACTTTTTTCTCACAGTGTAAGTCGTTCGTCTGAACGAGAAATCCAAATCTGGCGCACGTGTGCTGTGGGCAACGACTTAGACCGCATAGACGTGCGTGGAGTCGACCTAGGGTGTTTCCGGAAAACCGGATTTCTCCATTTCTCCAAAATGAGGCCAAGAACATTTTACCCGAGGGGGTAACGACCGCTAAATTTCGTTTCAGCCGGATTACGGATAACCCCGGATTACCCCCAAATTACCTTCGGATTACAAAAAAAATTCCTAGATTACCTTTGAATTTAGCAGGATTACTCCGGTTTACCTAAAAATTTTGCCGGATTACCCTGGATTACCTCAAAATTTCGGGTTAACCGGATTACGGATTACCAATTTGCTGTCAGCCGGATTCCCGAAGTCGTTACCCCCTCGATTTTACCGCACCTATCTAAGACCCAATCTGTGACCGGCTTTCACATTTCACTAAAATAAGGACTTTAGGTGATTGCAAAACTTTAGAAGACTGCCATTTCCAAACCACTGGAGCTACAGCGGTGAGATTTGACACAAACTCTGCATTCTTAGCAGGGATGACATTTAGGCAATAAATGAGCGGTGGTGCTTGCCCGAAAGGTGGCCTACCTTTTCTAGAACTACCCAGAAATGACAGTTTTTAACTTTTTCCAGCGGTACTGCTATTCGCGCGGCGTACTCGAAATTTTGCCCGCACCTATGTGAGCACAACTCTCGACTATGTGTATGAGAGTTATTTTTCTCACCTACATGAGAAATGAAATTCTCACCTACACTGTTGAGTGTGCAATGTAGACTGAACTCCAAATAGCGTTCTCATAAAGGTTAGATGCCCTAAGTGAATACTGAGTTCGACTCCTCACCTTTCCGCCGCTCTCTAATGGAAGGTTCGGAAAATTTGCAAACTTCCATGCGGTTTGCCATATTTTCCTTTACAGATCCCATCTTCTACTTGCCTGTTGCTTCTACTTTACTGTGATGGGCTATTCTTATCGCACCCCCTCCCTGACGCATTGGCCTTGCATGGGTCAGGGGCAGCGTCTGCGCGGCACGCTGTACAGTTCACTCCGAGATGGCTCTCCGAGCGCTGGCCCTGCTAGGACTGCTGTCCGCAGCATCGCAAGGTACGTAGAAGGCGGCCGCCTCCTCGCTCGGGACCCCATATTCGTTACAGTATGACACGTTCCTTTGCACTCTAAATGGCTTGCGAAGAAATCTGCCACACTGCAAGAAAAAGTGTGGATAGTACAACAAAAGTACAACAAAAACTGTACAATAAAAGTACAACAGGGATTGTTGAAAGTACAACGAGAATTGTGCAAACCACAACGAGCCCTGGACTGCACATCACTCGTCATGCCGGTTCCATTGTACTTTGTACAACAATTGTTGTACTTAAAAAGTACACAAAATTCCTGAAATTTGTGTACTTTTGTTGTGGTTATTTCCTGCAGTGCATATCACTCTCATTCTAGGAACGTGACATCACGTTGAAACGAACGTGACAAAGTGTCACGTTCGTTTGAGCGCTGTGTCACACTCGTTTGGATGTAAATCGGCCAAAAACTAGCTTATTGTTCACATTCAAACGAATGTGACACAATGCTCAAACGAACGTGACATTTTGTACGTGATGTCACGTGTCACATGCAGGAAATGACGCACGCAATTTTCGTCTTATGAGAAATTTCTTGTGACACGGTGTTATGATGTCTTATTTGTTGAATAACCGTGATGCTGACGCCGTGCCGTCTGTACAGCGGCCAACGCGTGCTGGTCCTCGCAGTTCGCGTGCAGGGACGGCCGGCCCCGTTGCGTGAGTTGGCCTTACAGGTGCGACGGCGCCAACGACTGCGACGACGGATCGGACGAGGACGGCTGCAGTGGTGAGTGCACTGCGAAAACCCCCATCACATGTTTTCCGAGCATGCACTGTGAAAATTTGTCGTCACTTTATGACAAAAACGCGGATGACATTCTCGTCACTTTCGAATTCTGACAATCTCATCACAAATTGATGACATCTTTATCAAAGCTCCTATACTTATTGCTTGGGCGTGACAGACAACAATGTCATCAATCTTTTTGATGACATTGTTGAAAGGAAAATTAGCCTTGAAATTGTCACCAAGTGACGACTCAAATTTTCACACTCTACAAATCAAAGAGTGTGCATAGTATGCTCTAACTGGAGCATGCCTGCAAGCACGCTCTAGCTAGCGCATGCCTGCCAAGTATGCACTAACTAGTGCATACATGCCATGTACACGCTTCCTGATGCAGAAAACTCCCTATACCTTAGGCAGTAAATGTATGCTTCAGTTAGCGTGTACATGGCATGTATGCACTAGTTAGTGCATGCTTGGCAGGCATGCGCTAGTTAGAGCGTGCTTGCAGGCATGCTCCAGTTAGAGCGTACCATGTACACTCTTTGATTTGTAGAGCAGTTTGAGTGAGTGGCGTTCCAATGAATTTATTTCAATAACTGCGGAGTGCATTGGTCGAGGGGGTAACCACTCGCGTAATACCCTGTACACAAAAACCGTGTATTACGCGTAATACACGTGATCGTAATACCATTTTTGGGTCAAATGTGCCAAATTTTGGTATTTTACGGCCGTAATACACGTGTAATACACCCGTAATACAGCGTAATACCGAGTAGTCTGTACACGATTTCTTGAAGTGTTTACCCCCTCGCCATTGGTTGTGCTGTGCAAAAAAATTGCGCCCTAATTACAGTTTACGAATTTACATTCTCCGTTCACACTATCTTAGTCTTAATTGTAAGAAAAAGCGATAACCTCTTTTCCGAGAGGATTCCGCCTGGTTATCATGAAGAGCCAATAAAATTCGTGTCACGTTCCTCACTCTCAGACCTATATAGACTTTTTTCTCTCTTGCGTTTTTTGAGCAAACATAAAATGTACTATTTTCTCTTTAACTATGCACAATTTTGATCGTTGTTAAGATTAAATTGTCAATAGAGCATGTAGAAATTGAAAAGTACATGGCAAATGACAACAGTCGGGTTAAATGGACTAAATACTCTATAAAATGAACAAAATAGTGCATAGCCATAGAGAAAATAGTAACGTTTGGACAAAAAACTTCATGGCAAGAGATAAAAAGCCAGAGTGCTGAGGATGCAGCAGTGACGTGAGCATATTCGTGTCCGCAGCGACCATGGTGACGCTGCTCCCCAACGCCACCGTCACGGCCCGGGTGGGGTACGACGAGGACCACGGCGCCATCGCAGTGCACCTGTGCGGCAGCGACCACTGCAGCAGCGTGCGCCTGTGGGGCGAGGCCTCCAACGGGACGATGCGGTACTCCACCTCGTCGGGGTGCAACCACCGCGCCGTCGAATGCAGCGCGGAACAGGTGTGTCAAAACTGTCATTCGACAAATGAGGCTCCCCTTTCCGTCAGAATGTGAATTGGCACTCAACCATACGTATTCCAGACAGGCACTCCACTCTGCAAACTCAACAGTGTACTCAGTACACGCTTCTTAGCGAATACTCACGAGTACGCTCTCTTCAACGTGTACTGACGAGCACACTTTCTTCAGCGTGTGCTCACGAGCACGCTTGCATGAGGGTGTACTCAACTTCATATGTTTCCAGGATCTGAGCACGAGCCAAGGCACGAGCACTCTCTCGTTAGAGTGAACTCGTCTAGAGCACACTCTCGTGCATGTGCCTGGAACGGCAGTAGATGCATTATTACTGGACCAACTTTCTGAGTCCACGTTGCGATCGGGTCAAAAATGGTACGCGGGAAAAAGAAAGATACCTGTCACACCCTCACTGAAAATGTAAGTTGCAAGTTGCAAGATATTGCATGCCTGTCCCACACTTACATATTTAGTGAGGTTGTGACAGGTATCTTTCTTTTTCCCGCGTACCATTTTTGACCCGATTGCAACGTGGACTCAGAAAGTTGGTCCAGTAATAATGCATCTACTGCCGTTCCAGGCACATGCACGAGAGTGTGCTTAGACGAGTGGGACACGGCTTGTCCCAGGCTTCCAAACGTGGGACATTTCCAATGTTATCTAGTGCATGCCTGTCCTACACTTGGATTTGCAGTGTAAAACTGTAACACTTACCTATCAGGTAGGATATTCTCCCAGCGCCTCGGCCAGTTAGTTTGGTTCCCGAGGGCTGCGGCAAGGTAAGATTTTTTAAAGGGGGTTTGAAATGCCGCTGCATTTAGTTTTTAAATTTATCACTCGCGACGCTCGCTGGGGGCTCCGCCCCCAGACCCCCGCATGTCTGGGGCGCGTACCGAAGTATTTTTAGCAAGTCCGTGATGACCAAAGGCAAATTTTCTAAGAAAGAAAATGTACTGCTTTTTTAAAAGGTCTATTTAACAGCTTTTGACCATATAATTAAGCTACTTTTACTGCCCAAATAGATAGCTTGTGTTGCATTGGCTACTGTGGCAGTCAATGGGTGCATACAAGATCCGGAAAATATTGAAGACTGCTTTGACAAGGATAGAGGTGAATGGAAAAAACCGCAAGTCTACGACCACTCCTTGACCCCAAACATTTCTATGAGAGAGTGAGTCAGTCAGTCGGATTGGGGCTATATAGGTTCTTGATTGATGATTTTGAGGACGTTGCCGGTGACGGGGACCCGATTGCGGCATAGTTTTGGAAATGTCTCGACTTGACCTATCGATAGGGCGAAAAAAAAATTTTCAGTCGGTCGGTCCCCTTTATTGAAGATTGAGTGGATTTTGTTGAATTTAGGCCTATTCAATCGTTTTGAGGATGTTGCCGGAGGCAGGGACCCGATTGCGACACAGTTTCGGAAATGTCTCGACCAGACCTAGGGTAAGGTTACCAAACATGGATCACTTTTTAAATAATCTTCTCTAGATCGAAATTAAGTATGGGTTGACCACTATTTTTAAATCTAATATTGATGTTTACCTTACTGGTCATATGGCTACCAAAAATGGTACCTCTAACTCGAATACTTCGGAAGTTGTGAGGACAAGAAATTTGGCTATTTTCACTAAGGTTAGGTTAGGGTGGTCCAATCATGGATCACCCCTCCAGCGTACGGACACAAAGCAAGGTAGGGGTAGGTTGGGTAAGAAAAGTACACCCGAGGCTTGGGTAAGAAAATAACACCCGTTATATCTCCGAACTGAAACTAAGTACACTGAACCATCACGATAGTGGTTTTAGAAAGATTAGTCATCCCGCTGACAAAAAATAAATTTAGCCCAGTTCTACCTATAATATTTAGAATCAAACTGCACGTTTGAAAATAACATTAAAAACAAGGTAGGTACTTACGCCAGACCGCGTCTTGTCGTAACAGGCTTCGCGATGTCTCGCTGCCTGTTTCTCCAATCCGCGCCTGGCGTAAGTACCTACCTTGGCCTGCGGGGGCTAGCCCGCCTGCGGCAGGCAATGGTTGGGATTGTTGGTTATTTTTTAACTTGGTGAATGCTGGGGGGCTCCCCCCCCAGACCCCCCCCATTCTAAATAGAGTTGTTTTATCTACAGATAACACGATCTTGACCCCTTTTCACTTTTTAAATTTTCGAGGCTGGGGGGCTCCGCCCCCCCAAACCCCCCTTTTTCCAAGACAGAAGTGATC